CTGTCAAGCCATGTGTGGTACGTCTCCGAGTTCCATGGCAATTCATCCGTGTTATATTTGTACATGGAACAAAACAGAGGTTTTTAAAAATGATTGCACTGAGCTACGAGCACTTAAGTGTTTGCAGTCTTAGTGACCCAATTGGGTCACTAAGATTAAGCCGTAAATTGTATAAATTGAGCGGATCAGAGAAAATTAGAGCAAAAGAATATTTTAACTATATTGATGAAGTTCTTTTAATTGGTGATGATAATGATCTAGTTGTTAATCATCTTTCTCCTCCAGAACTTTATTTGATGGAAGGGAAAACAAACCATATCTTTAAAACATTAAACAAATTAGCTGATCCAGTACTATTAAAAAAGATTGTAAATGACTTAAATATTTCTAAATCAATAAGAAATGGGTCATATAATGGTAATGGTTGTCGAAAAATATAAAAAAATTGGATGAAGTACTATAACTTGTTTCCAGTCCTATTAAAACCATTGGCTGAAGCGTTCAGGCTTCTGGATAACCTTGTTCACTCTTATTTTGGTGTAAATTTAAGGCCAACATTTGAAAAAGACATCAGGTTGTTTAAGAATCATTATTCAACTTTAGTGGAAGATTATGAAATGACAGTTACTGTGAAGTTACACATCATATTTCAACATGTAGGTAAATATAAGGACATTGGATTGGGTTTCTTTAGTGAACAAGCAGGGGAAGCTCTTCACTACTCATTTCTAAAAGAAGCATGGGAACGTTTCAAAGTGTCTGATAACCATCAAAAGTAAGCAAAGTATTTGAAAAAAGCAATAGTTAGTTTCAATAGAAAACATTTAAAATAATGTTTAATAAATATTTTCTAAAAATAATGTTTTTTTTTCCCTTTTAATTTTAAGAAGAAAAAAGTACTCGGCATTGGCGCCCCTAAGACTGTTTTTAAGACCCATCTGAGGGGGATATATAACGACTAGCCATATTTTCTGACAAAATGTACAACAATCGCATGCACCTCTGTAGTGGGTCTTGATATCAGTTAGAGGGGCGCCTAAGTCCGGGACCCTATTTGACCCCTGTATAAACCCAAATATTTTCAAAAAATTAGTTTTATGATTTTTTTCACTAACTTTTCCTGAATGGTATGGTTCTAACAATTTCAAAAAGGTATGACACAACCCTATGTCATTTCATCAAACTAAAATCTGGTTCAGCGTGGGAGTGTGCTATTAATATTAAAAAACAAAAAATTCAATTCAATGATTTTCATAATAAATTTAAAACCAAAACAAAACAAAAATTAAAATATACCCTAACATTTTATGTTTGTTTGCATGTATGTATGCAGGGGCGGATACAGGATTTTTTGAAGTTTGAAATAACTAACTTCCAGACATGGAGCGAACTCGAAACTTTTATATGTTTATAGTTATATCAAGCATGGATACTTTGCAAAAAATTGAGATGATAGGAGCCTGGGAACAAAAAAGCCCCGAAATTTTTGCTACACCTGCCCCAAACGTGAAAGCAACAAGTTGATAAAATAAGTTTTTTACTTTTCTCAACTAAATCTATATTCATCGAGAAATTTTTAATTTTGTAAAACAATCTTTTAACGTTCAATAATAATGGTCTTATAAAATTTGTAACCCCCTCAAATTGAGGGGGATTCAAACTTTATGTGGCTATAACTTTTGAACGTTAAGAGATTATTGTATGAATTTTAAAATTTCTCGATGAATATAGATTTAGTTGAGAATAGTAAAAAAATTATTTTATCAACTTGTTGCTCTCACGTTTGGGGCAGGTGTAGCAAAAATTTTGGGGCTTTTTTGTTCCCAGGCTCCTATCATCTCAATTTTATACAAAGTATCCTTATTTGATATAATTATAAACATATAAAAGTTTTGAGTTCGCTTCATGTCTGGAAGTTAGTTATCTCAAACTTCAAAAAATCCTGCATCCGCCCCTGGTATGTATGTATGTATGTATGTATGTATATATTTATATATGCATATATAAATATATATATATATATATATATATATATATATATATATATATATATATATATATATATATATATATATATATATATATATATATATATATATATTGTATGTATTTAGGTGCTCCCAGAAGTCCTTGCGGTCTTATCATAGAGCACCGCGGGAGAGCATTTAACGGGAAGTTCACGCCTCCTTCCGTACCAATGTCGCTTGTTGGGCTAGAGCTGGTGTCGAACCCCGGACCTCAGGGTTCTGAGCCAGAACTCTAACCACTGCGCCTCGGCTGCTCTCTCTCTCTCTCTCTCTCTCTGTCTATATATATATATATATATATATATATATATATATATATATATATATATATATATATATATATATATATATATATATATATATATATATATATATATATATATATATATATTTATTTATATATATTTCGCTAAAAATATATATAAGTTATATATATTTTTAGCGAAAAGGTAATGAAAACAAATACTAAACTCCAAAACTCTTTTTTTAACTATTTAAAAAAACATTTTATCTTACCATAACATAGTTTTAAAGTTGAAAGGATTGTTAAAACGTGTTTTGACGCTTATTTGCAATCTCACAGTGGGCACCGGACCAAAAAAAGACGTCTTTTGAACGTTTAAAAGACGTCCAAAACGTTCAAAAGACGTTTAAAAGACGTCCAAAACGTGTATAAGACGTTTAAAAGACATCTTTTATCGTCGTGTCTACTTGGCTATTGTGTAGTGTTAAAAAACGTATCATATATCCATAATTGAAAACTTTTCTTAACAAAATATACATGGTTGTTAATAATCATTTATACTTTTTTCTTACATCATTGATTGCGTCGTTTTATTTGTTGTTTTTTGCATTGGTTTTTCCCTTACAACCGTCACGACAAAAAAAACATAAAAATGCTTGTAAAACTTCAAGTAAAAACTATGAAACTCAGCATATAATAACATCAATGTGAGCTAAATACACACGCTAAATGATTTTTTTTTAATATGCCGTTCGCTGTGTTAAGTCTGGTAAAGTTGTTTTGTTCAGAAGTGGTAAAAAGTAAGCGTTACGACCGTCGCGCTGCACAGTGACTCAGGACAATCAAAAAACGGCAAAAATTAAATAAAAATTGACATAAATCGTAAATTAATGTTATATATTAAAATAATAACTTTTAAGTCAAAGACTTCAAATTTGTTAATAATTTTTTTTTTAACGCGCAGCTTCGACGTGTAAAATGCGCGCTTACGCGTGTTAAAGGTGACTATACGCGTAGAAAAATTTTTTTTTTTAGTTTTTAGAATCTTCAAGACAAACACATAATTTTGATATATTACTCTACTTAATATTTTTATAAAAATGGTTTTTAAAGGATGTTGATACATAGAGAAAAAATACTGTATTTTTTTACATTAAATTTATTATTTACATTACAATTAATTTAAAAACTTCATCTGGTAACGGTTTTCCTAGATAGCTCTTATGTTTTCTAAAAGATATGCTAGATATTTTTGGATCTGATCTTACTAGAAGGTAGTGCATCTGATTCATCATTGTGTTTAACTTTGATATTTTTGCCGTGTGCTTAAGTCTAGAATTTCTTATCTGTTTATTTAAACTTTCTAGTGCATTTTCCGAATATACCCCGATTGGCAAAGGTTATTTTTTTGATATAGAAGAACTATGCAGTAGCAGTTTATGTACAGTAGGAGGCATAACATACCAGCTGTATAAACTCACTATATGCTTAGCTGTTTCAGAGCAGTATAAATCTAATTCATTGATATTAATAGGATATCTACAAGATATGGTTATGAGAATATTATGCAATCTTTTAATTACATAACAATCAACTTTGGTAATTTCAGAAAAAACTTCACTATTTTTAAATGCTCTTCTGGCAGTGTTGCCGTCATTCGTGTTTCTAGACCCAGTTTTAGGCATATCAACGTATAGGCGTTCTTTGAAGAGTTATAGCCGTTGAAGAGTATAGCCGTTCTTTGAAGAGTACCTGAATCTCTTTTTTTTTTAAGCTGCGCCAGCATTTTTTGGTCTTTGAGATAGCTAATTTCTAGACATGGAGCAAATTCCAAATATTTATAAGTTTATACTTATGTAAAATAAGGATGCTTTGCAAAAAATTACAATGATTGGAGCATGGGAACAAAAAGAGCCAAAAAATTTGGCCGACACCATATAAAATTTGCAACCCTCTCAAATTGAGGGGGGGGGGGTTAAACTTTATATGGTCATAATTTTTGAACGCTGAGAGATACTATGAAATTTAAAATTTATCGATATATATAAGTCTAGTTGATAATAGTACAAAAACTATTTCATCAACTTATTGCATTCACGTTTGGGCCAGTGTCGGCCAAATTATACATATATATACATATGTATAACTTATGTATATATATGTATAAATATTTTAGGGTGCGCCAGTTTATTATTTTAGGTGACTATCTCTTTTTGAAACAGGTGTCATTATCAACTTAAAAAACAAAATGTGATACTAAAAAAAAACCATTTATTGATGATCACACATAATTACTTTTATAAATAACTTCAATGACGCGTTAGCCTATAATTAAAATCTCTTAAATCCAAATTAAACATTTGTACACGACACGCAAAAAACAATTCAATTCTGGTGTGTCCTGAGGCCTAAACTCGTATTTTAAAACAACTATTTTATTATAATTATAAACTTAGTATTAAATTTTTTTTTTTTTTTTTTACCGAATTAAGATTTACAACAGCTCGAAGATTTTTAAAGCCTGAGAACAATAAAGTTTTTTTAAAAAAACTTTGAAGCCCTATTGTTTTTTTTGGGAAGGGAGGGGGGGGGGGGTAGAGGTAGTTCTTAATAAGTAAAATAAATTTAAAAATTTTTAGAAAAAAAGTAATAAAAAAGGTTACCAATGTTATAGGAATAAAAAAGTAATCAAAAAAGATTTTTTCACTTTTCTTATTAATTACTAAAAA